GCTTTCCCTCTTCAAACTCATATTGCCTTACCTGCAACCCATCCATTTATTTTTCTACAAATAAAACTCAATTTTTCTAAATAAATTCCGATGACTAGGATCTAACTCAGCAAGTTACTTAATCAAGTTTGAAATATTTATTTGAGCTATAGGAGGTTAGGAGAGAGTATTTGAACTAATTTTGTAGCCCATTATTATAGGAATGCAAACATAAATGTGCATTGAGAGATGGGTATTATTCATTTGCACAAAATTAGGGGATGTAAAACAGTCAATCACTAAATAAAGATCTAGTGGCATGATTTATAAATAAATCAACTTATATAGAAACATTGTTATCCAATTTTAAAAATGAGTTTTACTTAAATATTGTACTATTGTTAGATTATCATATATGATTTTTGAGTTACAAGGGCCTATTTTAGTATGCTAATGCCGTCTATAATTTCAGAGAAAAATACTATTCAAATTGCTGGGTGAGACGAATATATTGTCCCCTGCTCTGCAATCCAGAGTGTAGATATTAATGGATTTCAATCAAGCACATGGTCATTAGCCCAAAGTTTTCTGACTAAAGAGCATAGGCTTGAAATGCAATGTGACATATTCTCTTTGGACCTGTTTGGAAGTGCTTTTGGAATGATTAAAAGTTTTTTCTGACAATCGAAAACGATTCTAACTATAGGCAAAACAATTTAAAAGTGTGTATAGGTCATAAAACGCTTTCTAGAGAAGCACTTGTCAGGCGCATGAAGTACTTCCACATGCTTAACAAAAAGTGCAATATTCTTTTAATAAAAGCGTTTATAACAAAAGTACTTATGAGCAAAAGTGCTTCCCATAGAAGCAGTCCCAACAAGCGCTAATTGTCGTCCACAAGATTTGTCTAACAGTTTAAGTAGAGAAGCCAACAGGTTAAATACGAATCAGCATGCAAGAACGGTGAAGTATGTATTAATTAAGCAAGGCAACTATCAGTCTCAAGCTTTGGCTGGATGAGTCCCCATCTGAAATTGTGTTTATGAAACGTTTTCAATGCGTAAGTGTATGAAAACGGGAAAACACTCCACTTAAAGGATAATTTAAGCAAAACAAAATTATGAGTCGACCACCTTCTACAATTAATTGTAAACAAAACAAAAGTGGGAAACACACTCCGTCCAACTAACCTAGTTAAAATAACCCAATTTACCTAATTAAATGAATTCCACCTAATAATCATATAATTAACCTAATACCAGGAGGAACGGGCTCGGTCTTGTTGGGATACGGACACAAAAAAGTCACTCGCAATCGCGAACATAAAACCAGACATACCCAAATTAAAACTCAAGCTAATTGTCTCACATATATAACAAACCATACATAACCATTGCAAAAGCAAAATCTCTCAAGTCTTAAATCAATGAGCCTCTTCAGACAATAAAAAGAAACATTGCAACTTGGCAAAAGATAGAAAGAAGCATGGGAGGCATCGTTAAAGACAAATGATGATGTCTTCCCATCATTGCAAAAGCACCATCATGACATACAAAAATATTCATCCACTAAGGAGGGAGCCCAAGGCACCGAAAGCCTGTGCAGCTCTCCCATTTTCCTCTTCCTTTCATTTCAAGCACCAAATATTGTTGACCATGCGTGCATCTTCCATACACTTTTTAATTGATGTAGATGTTTATTTCATCTGCCACATAAAATTGTACGAGAATATGATATACAAAGCAAAGCAAACAAAACTCTATATTTAACCGAATAACGAAAGGACTAAGAAATATAACTTTCGAGATATCGTTGGGAATCTGTGCATGCAATACACGTGCTTTTGAAGACAAAACAGGTCACTCAGACCAGAAAGTAATTAACAAGCACATACCAAAAACGTGCGTGCTTAATAAATGGTAAATAGCTGTTTTGCCCCACAATTATCTTACGATTGTCAATTTACTCCATAGACTTTTAGCAAATGTAGAACTCGCCGTCTAGGCACTCAGCTGCTATCTTATATATAATAGTGAAGAAAGAAAAAGAAAACATTGCAACAAGTCAATATATAGAGAAAAACATGGGGGAAGTCATCACCCTCATCTCAACAAGTGTAGTGAAAGCTTCAAGCCCTAAGACCATCTCCAACCCAATGAGTGGAAACTCAAATTTTGAGTTTTGAGTCCAAAAAACTTCTCCAACCCATGTATTTTAGGGGGTGAATTTGAGAAATCTCAAATTTGGGGTGGAATTCCAGTTCCATTAGGCCATCTCCAACCCTTGGACTCAAACCCAAAATATCCCCCCAAACCTCTCCCAACCCAAGAAAAGGAAGGACCCAAAATTTGGGAACACCCAAATTTTGACCCAAATATGGGTTCAAATATTGCATGTACCTAATACTATTTACTGGACCCCACGCTGAGGTGACAGAGCCCATGTGCTTCTGAAAATTGGTGGGACCTGCGCTGGTGACATTTTCTGATGGGCTTTGGCTATGGCTAAAGCCACGTGTCAGCACTACAAGCTAGAGTCGTTGGGCTTTGGCTATTTCCTTATTTTTTTTTTTTTTATAAATCAAATAGTATTGCTGGGGCCCACACGCACTGTGTTTCCAGCTCAAAGAGCCTTTGGAATTCAAAGAACCTATTTTTTTTTCTAAAAAAAAATTCTAATAGTATCTTTAAATTAACAATCTAGATTAAATCTAAACTATTTTAACGGTAAAAAAAAAAGATCCAACGGCTGAAATTTAAATCCAACGGTAAATAATATTTTAAATTAATCTAGATTAGATCCAACCCCAAAACTCACTCTAAACTCTATAAATACTCATCCATTTCTCAAATAATCTACCAAAAACATTTTATCTATCTCTCAAATTATTTTTCCTTTGTCAATCTCATCAATCTCCTTTCATTCTTGTTGAAGATGTCCACAAAACCTCAAAGAGGTGTGCATTGGAGGCCCGAAGAAGATGAGGCATTGTGCAAAAGGTGGGTTTTTGTCAGTGAAGATGGGGCTATTGGCACCAATCAAGAAAGCGAGACATTTTGAAAGCGCGTATATCAAAAGTTTCTGAAAAATGATCCGGCCATTAGTGGACCCGAGCGACGAACATATCAAGCCATTGCTTCTCGGTTCAAGACTATCAACCAACAGTATTCTTTTTGGAAGGCATACTTGACTAAGGCCTATACGAACCCACAAAGTGGCTCAAATTTACATGATGTGGTAAATAACTATTCTTATTAAAGCTTTAAATTTATATTTGTAATTTTATTCAACTCCAAACTTAAATTTATTTTTTCATGCGTAGGATGTGTATGCAAAAATAATATTTCTTAATGATAATAAGCCTCCAAATAGGCCTTTCAAGTTGTACCATGCTTAGGAAATCTTAAAAGATTGCCCAAAGTGGAACGATATAAATGAGCCTCCTGCACAACGTTCTTCTGGAGCTAGTGCAAATATGGTGAATTTGGATAACGATGCAGACGAAATCACCATGCCTAGTCCAAGGCCTGAGGGGCGACATAAACAAAAGGCTGCACACAAAAAAGGGAAGATGGATGACCCTTCTCAACAAAAAAGGAATAAGTACTTGGAAACATTGATGGAGCAAGGTATTGATTTCGAGGATGATAGGAGACGAAAGCTCAACATATTGGATAAGTTTGTCCAAGATTAAGTTGATGCTTATGCGTGATAAGGAAGCCCAAGAACAAAAAATAATGTTCATGGACGTGTCCAAATTTATTCTAAGAAAGAAGAAGTATTGGGGGGATAAACAAGATGAAATTATGCAAGAACATGCAGGGGGTCAACAGTCTACCGTTAATCCTGAAGATAATTCAGGGGACTATTATCCAAGCCCCCACGATGGTGGTTATTAGTTTATTCCTATTGGCATTCATGTATGGTGAATTTGAAGTATTGTATGTTTTCTTTTAGAATTATGCTGTGTGTTTTCTTTTGAAATAAAATTATATTTGTGGAATTTTAGTTTTTTTAGGTCAACTTGTTCAAAAAATTTAATTATGAAGTTTAAAAAGATTGACTGAAGAAAAGTTATCCATAAAAAATAAAAAAAAATTAGACTTAAACCATTCTTAAACAATTTAATAAAGTTGTGGAATTAAAATTTAAGTTCGGAGAGTTGGGAGAAAAAACAATTTGAGTCCGGGCAAAATCCAAATAGTCACTTTTTGGATAGGGGAAATTTGGGTTTAGCCTAGACTCATATTTTTTGTGGGCCCAAAATCTGTTTTTTTTTTGGCTGGAAGCCCACGTGCTGACAAACATTGCTGGGCCTGCTGACATTTCTGTTTGGGCATGCAAATAAAGCTAGCGCACATTTTTTTTTTTTGGTCTGAACCACGAGGTGCTAGCGCACATTTCAATCTTGTTGGGCAACGACTATATTTTCAAAACAAATCTGATTTGTTGTTTTTTTTTTAAAAAAAGTGAAATTCTATTATGTTTTGGAATTTTAATTTTTTTAAATTAAAATGTTTAGAAAATTAAATCACGAGTGTTGAAATAAAAATAATGTCAAGAAAAATTAACAAGAATTTTTTTTTAGGGATTAATCATTTTTAAACAATTTAATAAAGTTGCGGACTCAAATTATGAGTCTGCAAGGTTGGAGAAAAAAAAAATTTGAGTCCTGAAAAAACATGAATAGTTGTATTTTGAAAAGTGGAAATTTGAGTTTAACCCCAACATGATTGGAGATGGCCTAATAACGAGCACTTCCCCAACTACAAGAGTTGAGTTAAACCAAAACACAAGTCAAGTCAACGACAACGCATCCTAGAAATTCATTTCGATCAAACTTCCTGTCCATTTCAAGGCAATAAAGTTCACTTCATCTTCCCCGCGTAGAGAGATGAACACCTCGTACAATGTGTTGGTAACAATAATAAATCCTTTTTTTGGTGCCAGATGAATTTTTTACCCCTAAAGGTTATAATGGTGTGTCAAAATGTGTGGCTTTCTGTGTGCCTCTCATCCTCTATATATATAACTTAGGTCTACCCCTCCAACCATTGAGCCTCTGCAAGAGAAAACAAAGAAATAAGAGCAAAAAAACATGGGAGGCATCAGGATCATCTCAACAAATACAGTAAAAGCAGCGAGTCATAATACTCGAGCAATTGAGTTAACTCCATGGGACCTCCAGCTCCTTCTTGTTGATCCCATCCAAAAAGGCCTTCTCTTTCACAAACCCAAAAACTTTTCACAAAATATCCAACATCTCAAAGCCTCCCTTTCACGAACACTTGACTTCTTTCCACCACTTGCCGGCCGCCTCACCACCATTGAACACGACGAAGAAAACACTTTGTCCTTCTTCATCAATTGTAACAACGCAGGGGTTCTGTTTGTCCATGCCAAAGCTGATGGCGTCACTCTCTCTGACGTCAAAGACTCTCTCTATGTTCCTCGAGATCTTGTCAACTATTTCTTTCCTCTAAACGGAGTTAAAAACTTCCAAGGAACTTCCAAGCCCTTACTTGCAGTTCAAGTAACCGAGCTTGTGGATGGCGTCTTCATAGGTTGCACCATCAACCACACAGTTGTTGACGGGACGTCATTTTGGCACTTCTTTAATTCTTGGTCCGAAATTTCTCGTGGTTCTTCTGATCATGTCTCAAAATCCCCTGTTCTTCAACGTTGGTTTCTGGATGAAATCAATCGTCCCATTCGAATTCCCTTCTCGAAACTTGAGGATCAAGTCTCCGGTAAATTCATCGACAATATCCCGACACCGAATAATCTAAAAGAAAGAGTCTTTTGCTTCTCAAAGGAAAAAGTTGCTCAGTTGAAAGCAAAAGCCAGTGCTGAGATTGAAAACACCAATACAAAAATCTCTTCTCTGCAAGCAGTTTTAGCTCATCTTTGGCGGTCCATAGTACGTGGCAGCAAATATTCTAGTGACGAAGAAACTAGTTACCGGTTGCTGATAGGTGCTAGACCAAGAATGAAGCCGCCATTGCCACAACAATACTTTGGCAATGCAGTTCAGGCCGCGACAGTGACCATGAAAGCTGGGGAGGTTCTGGAACGTGGGCTTGGTTTTGTGGCATGGGAAATGAACAAGATGGTGGCTTTGCACACCGAAGAGAAACTGAGAAGCTTCTTGGAGTGTTGGGTGCAAGAGCCCAAGTTGCTTACAGAAGACAACATGGCTGCTAATGCTTTAGTCACAAGCAGCTCACCGAGGTTCAATGTGTATGGCAATGACTTTGGCTGGGGAAGGCCGGTTGGGGTGAGAAGCGGTGCTGGGAATAAGTCACATGGGAAGATTACAGTGTTTGCTGGGGTTGAAGAAGGCAGTATTGATATTGAAGTCTGTCTTTTGGCTGAGACCTTGGAGGCCATGGGAAATGATTCAGAATTCATGGATGTGGTCACACTCACAGTGTAGCTCTAGATGCGTTGCTAATGCAACTTTTTTAAATAAAAAATATTGAAATATTGAAATATGCTCAATCAAATTATCATTATATTTGGCGCTGTCTAATTCGTATTTGCGTAATCATTTCTTCACAGTATTCACTACAGAAAACTGCATTTCTATAGTGGATTAGTACTGACACTGTACATCCATTGTAATCCATCCATGCACCTTGAATATTGTGATACAAACACCTTCACGATTGAGAATGAGGTAAACTAGTCATGTCAATTCTAATTTCTACCCAACCCCGTGAATATGTGAGTTATACTAGTTGGTTATAATGGTGTGCCCGCCTCCTCCACTCGAATTTGAATGCTTTTCTGATTAAACTCGTGGATGTGAGTTATACTAGTTAGAGATGTCAGTGTGCCAGCCTCCTTCCCTCGAATTTGAACCCCTTCTTGATTAAAGAGTCGTTTAAAATTTGAAACAAACTGTAATGTTGATTGTCACAAAAGGACATTGAAGATGATAACGTGAACTAATTGTGCCAAATTCTGGATAAGACGGTAATGGTCTACATTAGTTTATCTTATGACAATAAGGTTCTTCGTACCAGATAAGCAACACTTGTACGTCTCTACATATTCCATCTTCGTCTTTGTTGTGAGTGAATATTGGGATCACATATTCCTTTCCCATTTTGTTGGTTTTGAGCATTTATAACCATATCCATGTGGAGACATACTGACCATATTGATCCAAAGCTGAAAACGAAATGACTGGGACGTGTTCCAAAATGATAAGTAACATGAGAAAACAGCCGTGTGGATAGTGTCTTAAGAAAATGGGATTTGGTAATGGACGCATACTAGTGCTCTCTTTTTTTCCTCAGTTAATATTCCAATTGGTTTCCTTGACATTTTCCCTGTCTTTTTTATTATTAATTTTGCCACTTTTCTCCTGACCATATTCAACCAATTAGTATAAGCATGGTGGGTGGCAGCTTCTGGAGACCAATGCTAGTTAAGGAGTCGTTCCTTCTAATAAATTTGATGTGGAAAAGGTATAAAAGAATAGCTCTTTAGCGTTAACAGTGTTTAACCCAGTGAAAAATAGTTTTGATTTGCAGACTAGTAGTCTCAGGTTCGAATCCCCATGAGATTTTGATAGTTGTGTGTGAGAAACCCCCTCCATTTGTAGTTTAGACTATTTAGGGTTGGTTTTCGAATGGAACATATCGAAACCAAGGCGTTTCAATTCCAATTCAAAAAATTTCAGAGTGAAAATTCTTTTCCAATTCCGTTCCAAATTTTTTTGGAATTTCAACATTCATTCCGATTCGGAAAAATCATAATTTTAGTAAAATTTGGAATATACATATTTCGGAATTTTTTTTGGAAAATTTCAAAAAATAGTTGAAAATTTTAAACATGTCCAACGATCTGAAAGGTTAAAAGTGGCTCAAAATTGAAAATCAAACATAAAGCTCGAAAACTATTATATGTTGTTATCCATTATGAAATTACTCAACATTGTCTATTTGATCATTAAGTCATATTTAGTTCAACGTGAAATTAGTCATTATGTGTAGTTTAAACTTAAAGTCCCAATATATTTCGAAATTCGGAAGTTTCAGAATCTTGAGATACATTCCAATTCCAATCCTTTTTTTGTTGTTGGAATTTTCGAATTTTGTAACTTTCTGATGTTGGAATTGATTTCGCCAAAATTGGAAAATTTTAGATTGGAAGTGGAATTTCCAATCCAACTTACACCCCTAAGACTATCACCTTGTATTACCAAAAAAATAGTTCTTTAGCTAGAAAAAAAGGTACGATACAGCGTGTGAAAGCACTCTTATAGAAGGAATTGGCATGTCACGGGCCTATATTCCTCTTATCTCTCCTTATGTGACTCATTACATTATGAGAGGCAATAGAACATATATATGTTCCATATAGAGGTGGGCGTGGTCCTGTCCGGTTTTCACCTTACACTCGAATCGAAACTAGTAATATTCAATTGATATGGTCCAGTTTTGTAAGGTGTGAAACTGGTATCGGAACCAATTTGAACCAGTCCAATCCGATTCGGCACTGGTTTGTTGAATTTTTAGTCAACATGATTTTTTTCTAGTTTTTTCCATCAAATGCGGTTTGGTGTTCCGATTTTCCAGTCTTGATGCCCACCACTATGCAAGTTTTTCTGTGTTAGCTAGATGGCTCAACCCTTTCTAATGTGAGTGGTTGATCAATTCTTGTCTGATAATAAGCAATTAAGCATTTTCCTAATTGAAGTGACATACAAATTAGTTTCCTCCACGTATTTGCTTCTCTCATGTAGCTTAAAAACCAAACCTTGGAATTAATCATTTGTGTTCTCTGAAACTATTTGTATTTTATACTTTATCTAGCACTCATAGCTAGCAATGAGATGAAGGTAGTTCACATAAAGGAAGAAAGAGAGAGAACCCCAGCAATTAATATTATTACAAACGTTATTATAACTTGAAGAAGGGGCAGAGAAGACAAAACAACCTACATAATATGGCCAGAGTGCTAGCCGTAACAATCAACATTGGTAACTTGATTTTCAATCTGTTCCAAGGCGAAAACAAAATGGTTGGGCACGTAATGGCAACGCCTTTAGAAAATGGGATTTGTCAATGACCACATGCTCTTTCTTTCTTTCGGCATCCAAATATTTTGTTTGTCGTGTTTCTCTGTCTTTCTTATCATTTTGGCTTTGGCCAGCTGAAGGAACTGAATCAGTAGTTTTGGAGATGGAATTTTAGGACCGTTGTCACGAAAAAGAGTGAATTGATGTTTGAGACCACGTAGTCTTTGGATGATGGAAATGCTTATGGTATCCTCACTTATTTCATTTTAAAAGAATTTTTCCGCTATTTAGACTGTCATTAATCATATTTAACTAATTAGAATGGCAGGGCACGTGTCTTCCCAGAGCTTAAGGCGGCCCTGCAGCCAGTTCAATCCTTCTTCAGAATGAAAAAAGAAATATATATAATATAGGAATTGGTGGATTTTGAAGCAACTTGAAGCGGTGGATAACTTTGATGAAAAAATAAAGTGAAAGGAATCCACATGGATATGGTTATAAATGCTCAAATCCAAGAAAAATGGAAAGGAATATGTTATCCCAATATTCACTCATAACAAAGACAAAGGTGAAAAATAGTGTATTCGGAAGTAAGGTGGGTTTGGTGGTGGTCTAATAGTGTTCGGGAGTTAGCTCTCGATTAATATTAGAGTGTTCTGTGATAGAGTGTATTAGGGTGTATCATGTATATTTTTGGTAGCTAAATAGAGTGTACTTAGTTAATTTTATATTTTGATTATAATATTATGGTGTAATTAGATTATAGAGTGTATTCAATTAATTTTAAAGTACGTTTAGCAGTACTCATAATTTTATTCATCTTATTGACACGAGCTATTCCTCCTAATTAAGATTATGATTTATTTCATAATTAAGTTTGTACAGTTGACTTATTCTGGTGTAACTAATTTCTTTATTGAAAACACAATGTAACTCTATGTTTACTTGGAGAATAAATATAAGAGAGAGGTTTTCCAGTCGTATTTTCTTTTAACAAATCTTTCATTATTTTCCTAGAATATTGCATGTGGAATGAATGTAGAGACGGACAAGTGTTGCTTATCTGGTACGAAGAAGCTTATTGTCAATGTAGACTATTACCGTCTTATCCAGGATCTGACACCATCAGTTCACCTTATCACCTTCAGTGTCCTTTTGTGACAGTCAACATTACAGTTTGTTTCGAATTTTAATTTGTGAGAAAATGATATGTAAACGACTCTCTAATCAGGAAGGAGTTCAAATTCAAATACTAGTGGAGTAGGCGGGCACACCGTCATAGTCAATTAGTATAATTCACATGATCATTTTTACAAGGTTGGGTATGAAATTACTTGTAGGATGATTAAAAATGCCCAGAAATGGGTGAATAGGCTAATTCGAGATTATTAAGAATAAATAAAAATAGACTTTTGAAGCAAGATTGATATGGTTTATCAATCTTGAAATGTGCAAAGCTTAAAGTAAACGAACATGCAAATATTTATTTTACGTGGTAAAACCTCACATCTGGAGAAAATCCATTGGACTCCTTAGTTCAAAACAAATCCACTATAGAATAAAGACTACAAGAAATACTCACACACTTATCCTAAATGCAATCTAGAAAAAGTTTACTAACTTATACGTAACTCAACTTCTATAACGGGATGATCTTCGACACTCCTTATTTTGAACTAGTCGTGATTGGTTCAAGCTTGCCAGAGGATAAATGCCACAATGGTCTTGGTGCTCTCAAACGTATGAGTCACCGACATTCATATGAATGCAATATGAATGATGAAGGGATTTGATAAATCACCAAGTAAACAAGGAACACTTGATGACTTATTAGAAAAATTTGCACAGCAGCTTTCGATTAAAAATTCAATATGCTCAAAAAACAATATGTCGAAAGCTGTGTTTTTCAAAAGAGAGGCATACTTCTTTTATGCAAAACTCATTCTCCCTAGTCATATGTTAACACAAGAGTCCACAACGCTCTTCAATTATGACTCTCTAGTTTAATCCCATATGAGCTCAAGTCAAAGACGTTAAAACAGGAGACCAAATACTATTCAATTATGAATATTAGCTTTGATTCAATATGGACTCTTAAGTAATGACACCAAACAACCACTATTTTGTGGAGCAAAAATATCTCCTAAAACAAGTTAATTAGGAGATGAGCACCATGCACATCACTATAGGAAACACTAATATTTTAACTTAAATCACAATGGCATGGAAAATAACTTCAACTATGAATCCTATTGTGTATGCATTATTATGTCATGATTTGCCTGAAATCAAGTTTCTCATATCGATCAAGTCATGCTTCAAAAATCCGGGATTGAATGTATTGCGCCAAAACTTCCAGTAAACATTATTCACAAACTACTTCCCAACCTATGCTAGAATCTAGGAAATGCCAATACAATTTTCGTACTAACAATCTTCCCCTTTGACATTCCTAGACAAAATACTAGATTACATTGTAGACATGTTTACGAGAAGAACCT